GGAACTGACTCACTTTTGGTCACTTTTGGAACCAGTCTGAAGTGGATATTAGAGAAACTGCAGTGTTCAGTGCTTTAACATTAGCTTTATTTGTTAGCCCCAGAGGTTGATTTTGCATAATGCAGCTTGGCATGCTGCAATATTAACATACACCAGGTTACTGACAACCCTTTTTCGAGCTACCAAATGGAAAAATGGGAAAACGGATAAGACTACATCTAAAACACAATATCCTCTTTAGCATGAGACAAAACAAAACTCAACTCTGACCTTCCCCTTGGTCTCAATGGGTTGGCCAATTATCCAGAACATAAATCTATTGGAATTTTAAGATCAGAGCCATACCACCAGAAAACAAACATCTACTCAAACTGGCATATGGATACTATGAAACATGCATTTCTACAACAGTCTGATTCTAAACTACCTGAATCTGATGTAAACCCGTTCCTATTGATAGAAAATCTCTTAAGACATTTACTGTGGGAGGTCCCAAAGAAATTCAAGACGACAATAATCATTCAGAGAATTCTACAAAATAAGATAAAAAAAACTATTTCCATATAAAAATATAAAAACAAAAATAAGTCAACATAAACTTAAATTATTAACTTAATATCCTGTTTACATTACATAACTGACAAATTACAAACTGCAAACTTAAAAAAAATAAATTACTAAAACTTTAATAAGATGATTAAATCAGTCCCAAGGAATCCTGGGAATTATTGTAGTTCATTGCTCTGATTGGTGACTTTGAAAAGTAATCAGTATCAGCTAATGAGTCACCAATCAGAGCTGAGGATGAGTGGATGCCCCACAGTTTTAGTGCTGCTCTTCAAACGAGCCATTGTGGGCTTGTTGTTCCTACTGAGGTTCAGACAAACTGTTTGGGTTTCTGGTTGGGGGTCGGCGTGGCTTGTGGTGGGAGGGGCTTCTGCTTCTCTGATGACTCTCCCTGGTCACTAGCTGTGGATAAATAAAAGTAGAAAATGAGGAACTGTCACACTGATCTGAGCCCTGAAGTGAAAAATAAACTGAATATGAGCATAATGGAGCTAAAAATAGGTTTAAGGTTTAAAACAAGAAAAGAAAATGCACAGTTCTCACACCCAGAGTGTACCGTCGTCTTTTATATGCAATCTAAGGTTTAAGTTCTAATAACCAAAAATCAGGCTGATCTAAACTACATCTACATAAAAAAGTCAAAAGAAAAGACTCATATGACATTTGTTATTCATATTTTAATAAATAAATAAAATTGTGAATCCTGTGACCAAATCTAAAAATCAATGAAAAATTTGACATCACTCTAAGCCACCACCAAAGGTGTGCAATACAGTAAATGTTGGTCTCAATCTGATACCAGATTGAGACCAACATTTAATGAAATGCTCTAAAAGTTAAATTAGACAAAGATGATCAGAGAAAATAAAAACCATAGTTTTTAAATGATGATTTCCCTTTTTAGGAAAGAAAAACAGCGGTTTTGTAATAGGCTGATGTTTGTTTTCTTGGTTTTAACTGGATTTCTTTTTACAGTTTCAGGACTTTTGTACAAAAACACATAACTT